TATAGATGGCATGTGGATGTGAACATAAAAATACAGAGACACCCGTTTCCTCCACCTCAGGTCCAGCTACCGACACAAAACCATACCCTGACATCCACACCCAAAAAACTTGATAATAATTCTTAACTGAGTTATATTTATTGGTTATTAATTTATGAGTCACAACTTATTACAATTAAGCAAATTAAGAAAATTCATTGAAAACAATTAATTATGTATTTAACGACGAATTATCGGTTATTTATTTGAATTGATATTGAATTCTTGTACTCCATGATTTCCGTAATCGACGACATAGAGATTGCTATGTCGATCGAATGATAAACCGACAGGCACATTGAGCAGGTTCGATTCTTCTCCTTGACCATCAGCCACGACAATGCCTTGTTGTTCACCTGCCATCCATTTCATCACACGATGATTTCCATAATCAGATACGTATACTGAGTGATCTCGATCGATGAATACATGATAGGGGTTAGAGAGTTGATCAAGTCGATTTCCACTTCCATTGCCACCTGCAACTACTGTTTCTTGAGATTCTCCTCTTTGATATCGTCTCAATCCATGTTTTTCATTATCAACGACATAGAGAGATCCATTTTCGTCCATTGTCAAACTCCAACAATCGATGTTCGAGATGATCGTTTCTCCACTTATTCCATTTCGACGAAGCCATCGAACTATTCGTGCATTCGAATAATTGTAGATGATGAGACTCTCTCTTTCTTTGTTGACAATCACATCAAACGGGTTAGACAATTGATGAGCCTCATTTCCTTGTCCATTCCCACCGGCAACCGTTTGGCCATTCGTTGTGCCCAATTTCCATTCCATAATACGTTGATTCACCATATCAGCAGCATAGACAGTTTGATCATCATCAACTTGCAAACCCAACGGGCAAGAGAGTTGATTGATTCCATTGCCTTCTCCATTTCATCCAACCACAGTGATACCATTATGTTGCCATCGAGCATTCGGATGAATGTCAATTGAACATTCACGTAATGGAGAAACTGAAATGGGGAGAAAGGAAAGAATAAAATTATAAAATAAGAGAGAAAAGAGAGTGCCGGTGGGATATAAATAAAAATATTATTTTCATAGTATTTTAATTGCATACGGCTGTCATACAAGTTTTTTTTTGATTTGGTTTAACTAAAAGTCACAATTTAATTTGACTGCAACTATTGTATGATATAGCTCAGATGTGTTCCTTTAGGATTTCTTATCAAATTTTAGACTCGCATGGCTTACTGTCTTCATTATATTTTAAGGGTGTGGGTGTGGGTCAGATTATTGTCTACAACCGCATCCACACCCACACCCATACCCTCCTCTGTTACTTTGTTCGCAGACGCGAATATTGAAACTGGCACCGAACAATACAGTTTGATATCTTGCATTCAATTGATACTCGAACAAAAAAATGCCACCAATCTTACTGTGATACTGTAAGGTCCATACGGCATGATTAACTCGACGGGTGCAAAATATATAGATCATTATAATCTTTGGTAGCGCGTAAATTTTCGGAACGAAATTTTCGCCCAATGACCCAGAGATAATAAAAAAACATTGGTCGCTTTTCATTTTCAATATAGTTAAGACATTCTACTTCGTCACTAAACACTTTTACATAACCAATCATATGCGACAATATCGGATCATCAATATTTCTATTTGCGGGAGCAAACCAGATAAGAACAAAATCTTCCAAGTTATCATCTTCTGAATTGAAAAAAAAATGATCTAATCGAACTATTTCGCTGAGATGATTGTTCATTGTTCGTTGTAGTAATTATGCGAAGATTTGACTGACTAAAAGAAGTTTGATCATCAAAAATCAGTTCCATTGTTTCGGCGTCAGGTTTTTATCAATCCGTGTATCCAACGACAATATAATTTACGTCTAGAAACGAAGAGTATAAACGCATAAAAAAGAAAAAGCCAGCATGTTTTACATGCTGTGTTAAGTATCTAATAGATAAGAAATGAAAACAGAGCTGCAGTCATAGTCGAAAGAGAGAACAAGCTGCTGACAGATTTTTGTATGGTTTTAAAGTTAAAGCGTGTGTGGTGTGGGTGTGCGGTGTGGATGTGGAAGGAAAGAACACGCACACCCCACATCACACCCACACTCAAAATAAAGAAGGATCGATTTTTCCTATTAAAATTTTAATATGTTTATAACCAATCCAATATAAAAGCCAAGCAAAACGAGCTACCATCATTAGTTTTTCATTCGTATATAAAACAATAAATGCCTCTTGAGATAAACGATATTTATTCAGAAGTTTTTCTCTTATATCATCAAATAAAGAATATTTCCAATAGTTATTATTTTTATCAGTTTCAATATCATTCATTATATTCGATGTTATTTGTAATAAATAAAGATTTTTTATTGAAAAAATTTGTTCAGATCTTATAAACCATTTAGATACGTTCAACTAAAAGAATTATTTTATTAAAAAAGAAAAAAAAGAAACTAAGAGAAAAATAAAAATGAAATGAAATGTTTTGTTGAATTTTAAATTTGTAAACGACTTTCTTCATTAAGAATAGTTAATTTATTCGATGATTCAATTTGAATATCGAGATTTTTAAGCTAAATTAAGTAGAAAATTATAAAAATCATTAATTAAATTGAAACAGAAAAAAAAACCAAAAATATTACTTCAGTAGTATATGCATTAACATCATGTTGAATTTGCATACGAATTTTATTGTCATCTGTCAATGAAGCTGTTGATGAAGTTGTCATACTTTGTGTCATACTTGATAAAGCTTTAGATGATTCACGAACACGTCTTAAACGTTGAATACTATCTTCCATTTTTCGAACAGATGATAAGATCTCTGAACATAATTCATAATAACTAAATTTATTAAAATTATTTATATTTCGAAAATGAATTAATGAAATCAAATACTTTTTAGTAATTTCTTCCATAGCTATTATTTGAAATTGTTTACATTCATCTTCAGTTAATATAGTATCACTATAATCATTAGAAAATGCTTGTAAATGACGAAATGTTGCAAGAATACTATTTGATGGTTTACTAGAAGCTCAAATTGAATGAAATTCTTTTTTTGTGTATTTTAGGAATTATAACGCGAAATAAAACAAATTAAATAAGAATTTGTTTAAATAAATATTAAATTGATCGAACTGGTCTATAAATACTACTGAGATCAGTTCTAAAGAAACAATATCAATGCACAAGCGCTGTTTTTCTTTCCGTTCCGACAAATATTTATAATTGATTGATTTTACATTTTTCTTCTGATCTTACATTTATTTTCTGTTCTATTCAATTTGATTATTGTCTCATGTCACATTGACTTTTCATTATCAAGGACAAAATCAATGATTAATATTTTTTAATGCTTACTTCTCGAGTTGTTTTTCTATACATTCGAGGAATTTCTTGTATGGAATGAAGTGTTTCATTACATCGATCAATTAATTGTTCATTAGCTAATTTTTTAAAATTTTTACGACATTCATATGTTAAACTTAAGTGTTTCATCCAAAACTAATCAAGAAAAATAAATATTTGTTTTTTTTTTTGTTCAATGAAAAAACAAACATCTTTTATTTTTTACTATTTGTTAATTCTATAGATATATTTGGTGATAATGAAATAATTGATGAAATTCGTTGATCAAGAATAATATTTTGAAAAAATTTTTTACTTCATTACAAATGTTTGAAGATCAACATAAAGATTTACAAGAAATTTTGTATCGATTGTTTTAATCTAAATATAGAAATGAATTTTTTTGTCTTACAAAAATAATTTAATTATTTACATTAAATTGTTCAATCCCATAACGAAATCGAACAATATATTTTAATGTTAGTTTCCAAAATCGATGTGATAATGGTTCAAGAAAAAGATTTGTTTTCCAACAATGATCATTTGGTTGAAATATTGTTAATGTAATTATTGTTTTAAATAATGAATTTTTTTGTTCATTTAATTGAAATGGTTGATTGACAATAATATTTTCAATTAAACTTGATATTTCTTGAAATCTTATTTGATAATAAACAACTAAATCCCATCTTGATAAAAATTCAAAATATATTTTCGATTATTTTAAATTTTGTTCACTTAATTTTGATAAAATACTTTTAAGTTGTTCAAGAAATTTTAACCAGTATGAGTATCTTTCATGAAATATATCTGGATCACCAACAAAAAATAGATTAGATGCGTTCGGGGAGTTTCCTCAGAAACTCCATTAAATGCTAGCGTATGAGATATAGGAGGTATGGGAATTGATTTTTTCCAGCAAGGGTTGGCAAGTGATGCCAATATATTTTACGAGTAGATGTTAAAATTCGAACACTATTGAATGATTAGCTGTACTAGTTAATCAATATCTCCAACATCTCCTATATCTCTATATCTCATACTCTAGCATTTAATGGAGTTTTCGAGGAAACTCTCAGAACGCATCATATGAAAAAATAATAATAACTCATATACCGTGGACATATAAATCCCAACTGGATGTAGTAGCATTAGATTTCAGCGACCAGGTAACCCTTTCAGTATGATTCCATTTTAGCGACCATCAATTAGAGCGTCGAACTTTTATTTCACCAATTTGATAAAGTAATGATCGTTTTCTCTGCTTTCTGCTTGAAAATTTCAAGTAAAATTTGATTTTGGCAGCATGCCTCATTGAATGTATTGCACCCAAGCTACCTGAAATGGTTCTATGCTATCAGCATGTATCGAAAAATGTTGGGTACTTCAAAAAATGTTTCGTTGAATGTTATAGAAGCTGGATGGTTTTCTGAACAAGTACCCAATCAATTTGACATCAACTACTTCATCTCTTACTTTGCTGATCGTGGAAGTACCTGTAAGCCTATCAGCAACATCAATATCATCACTTAGCATGCCACCAGTACCGACAACTCAAGAATATCATTATCAATAATAACGCTCAGTAACACTTTACCAACGACAGAAAACGACAAGGAATTTAAATCATACTATAAATTTCTTATGATGATCGATTCAACCGTTTTTACCCGAAGCTCTATAAGGCTGACATTTTTATTATGACTATCTTAGTTGTTAACCATTCGTCTACTTAGATTCATAAAGAAAGCCACTTGACAAACAATCTATTTTATTAGGATGATTTCAAAAAGAACCAGAGAGACTCGCCAGGATACTCCTTCAGACCGAAGAGCGCAAAACAGTTGATAAAAAGACATGAAATGCTCTTCATCAAATGGATTAGTTTCGTGCAATATTGAATAACTTATCATGTCGTTTCCTCTTCTTGCTTCATCTAAATTTTACACAGAATGGAATAAATGGCTAAGAATAGTTCCAGCTGAAATCTTTTTATGTAAGCACTTTAGAATGTATCATAAATAAAACGAAACAAAATTAAAACAAACAAAAAGTATGATTTTGTTTAAAAGCTTCAGTTTAAAAATGTTTTTAGAGCGGAATTCTATGCTGAAGTATTTACATCGAATTTTAAAGAATCTACTACGACATATGTAAAATGCATTTATTTTCATCTAGGAATGATAAAGAAGAAATAAAGAAATTTGATAAGATTCAATACTGAGATCGGTGTATTCAGACTGAAAAGTTTTGTTCGTATATAAATACAGTATATGTAGTCTATATCAATTTATAATGATGTGAATTAGATGACTCATGAAAACCATATTTTTCATTGCACCTAGAAACACTAGGTCAATTACCAGATAGAAGCTCTGAAAAACCAGATCTTCGAAAACACCAACATATGAATATATTTTACAAAAAAAAATCAAAGACTTTTCTTACTTTAGCATGAATAGTTCGAGTAGTTGGATCAACCAATACTTAAATGTACTCTTTTTCTTTTACCGAATAAAATATTATTTAGCTATTGATAAAACATCTAGATTGGGAAAACCTTTTTTTATATTCAAGTGAATAGATCAAACATTCATAAATGTGCAATGGTCAATAGATTCAGAAAAATAGGCCGATTATATATTGATACCAAAGCTATCTCAACATTTTATCTTTAAAAATATGACGTAAAAACACTGGACTTTACAAACGTTTATGATAGAAAATCAATCATAATCTGATTTTTAATGTTTCTCCCGTAATTATTGTGAAGCTTACACAGCATATGAATAATATAATGATAGAAACATAACAAAAGAGATAGAATCTAAAGAATAAATGTGGTTTACTAATAATAATCTTAATTATCGGTGCGTCGACTATTTAATCTGGTTCTCATCGGACTTAGATGACGTCCTGTTTGTTTTGGTGTTAATGGAGCAGCTGGAATCAAATTAGTTGATGATCTTCCTAAAACAAATCAAAAAGCAGTTGGATTGTAAAAGAAATTTAAAAAAAATATTTATAAAAAGAGATATACTTACAGTAAAAAACTTTCTTAAAAGTTTCTGTTTTAGGAAAAACCATTCAATTAATTTAAATGAAATTCAACAAACTCAATCCAGTGTTAACAAGACTACATTAAAATATATTTCTTGATTTGACTCGAGCATCAAAGGAATTATATATTGTTCCAATCAATCAAGAGAGATACGAGAGATATATTTTAGTTTTTCTGAGAAAATAGTAATTATTTGAGAAAGTGTTTAGTACACATTTTAACGAGACTTGTTTTTTTTAATAAAATCGATGTTGATATTATTCTTCAAGTCTCTTAAAATACCAATGTATGTAGGCAGAATGACGATGAATGCTGTTGAATTTCTAGTACCTGAAGTTCAGTCTACAAAAGAAAACAATGTCATAATATCGTTAGAGAAAAAAATGTCTCCTGCTTTTATACGTTTACCGTTTCTCATTTTCTCGAATACAATACGCCGCGCGTAAGATATATTAGCTGACACAAGCTATCCATTGGAAAACTTCTTTTTTGCTTTACAGAAAAAATTTGAAATAATTACTTGTTTCATCAACAATAACTGTCATATGGGTAACATAAGCTAATATCAAATTAGGATCAGCTGTATCTAAACATGAACAAAATCAGTTTCATAGATGTATTGTGCAACTCTGATATGGAGTATTGAAAAAGAATTGTTGAGAAATCCTACCATTCGTAATCATTAAAACTATTGTATCGATAGTTGATTAATTATTTCATGCTGCTCGTTGATAATATTCGAATCTGAAAAATATGCTTAATATCCTTGACTTGTCTTAGAACATTGTATAAATCGCTGTTATTTCGTTTTGCAAAAACCATTCATTCATCCAAAATGGCTATGAATTCGTATGAGTGTAAATATTTCTGTCCTCAAGTATACACTCATATCCTGGTTGGTCACATTATCTACTTTTTTCTTCCGTTTTATTGCATTCATTTCATAAATAATCTTTTCTAGATGTTTGAATAGAATGTTGGAATGTATGATTGATACAAATAAACTTTCATATTCCACGATCACCTTGTTTCTGATCAATTGTATTCAAATATTGACTCATTAATCGAAAAAGATGATGAATAATTTTCATTTACCAGATACACTTTGACAGTATATTAATAACTTTCCGACGAATCGATTTTAAATGATACTCAGCTGTGTTTGAGTTTTTCCGCTAATGACGATGAAGTGTTTCGAAAATTTTTAAATAACGTTATACGTTTCCTAGCCACACTGTTGTTGATAATAGAATCAATTGTTTCAATATCGTCTTCGTTCATGAAAATACAATCACTGGCTGGTGTTTTAACTCCTTCGTTGTGTCTTTCTTTTATGAGATGTTCTACGTATTGAACACCTGTATTAAAAAGAAAATAAATAAAATTTTCAACTATATAACAAAGCTAAAATCGACTTTTATTATTCAATTGTTAAAATTAAAATCATTTTTTATTTATCATGTTCAGTCATTATCAGTTTCATTGTAAATATAAATATAAAACACTACGTAGCAACTATTATGCTGCTGTATTCGACTAAACTTATTTTGACTAATCTAATATCTGCAGATTGATGTTGATCCAAACAATTGACCATTCTCTTTTTTTTCTTGTAGTATTCGACATTGAGAAGATTTTTGAAAACTAACCGATGTTTTTGTTTGAATCTCTTACGTTACTCATCTTACTTTCTAATGAAGTTTATCAATTATTTGATATAGGCGAAGCAAAAACATATTTGTCTTTAAATATTTATATTCTCTCCTATTTTTACACTATACTTTTAGGTTTAAAAATGATCAGACATGGAAAGACTTCCTTTCATTATTATTTCACATTGTCATTTGCTTCTAAGCGTGAGTGCAGTTATTAAATCTAAGTGAAAAAAACAATAATCGCTTCAGTCTAAATAGTAATTAAAATTGATTAATTTCGAAGAAGAGATCAATAGAAATAAGAAACCCTCGAGAAAGTCGAGAAAGACATTGAAATTAGATATCTCTTCTATTTTCAAATTTATTGATAATATCTAAGTTTAGTTTAGAATACAAAACAAGAACCGAGAAGTCCATTACTATCTATGTACATATCAACAAGATCAACTGTGTGTAATAAATAACGAAATAAAAACGTTTTTGTAAATAAATATGCTGTAGCACATAAGAAACGAGAACAAGACGAAACATTAGTAAGACATTTTGTTTTACTGTTGGGTAGACCGTGGATGCCACATACCAAACATAAAAGATACGTTCGTAAATATCCTCCTGTTCTTTGTTTTCATAGAACCTTTTTAAAATAAATGCTATGGATTCGCTAAGAAATCACACGATCATCTGAAAAGGAGGAAGCGATTCCGAAAATAGCACGTTTGATTAGGATGTGAGTATAGATCTGGAGTGGGATAGAGAATAGATCTTCTGTTCATTCACGTCTAAGCTTTATGCAAACACTTCACATCCATCTTGTATAATGCGATTAAACAAAGATGGTAAAATTTAAGTAACGATCAGAAAAAGTCTCTTGGAAAGAACGAAAAATAAGAAAGGTGACTTACTTTTTTGGCAAATGATTAGATGAGCACGTTGTTTTGTCAACTTCGGTTGATGGATTATTGTATGATGTATCAAAAAGTATTTCTGCTGTTGTCTCAAAGAATATGCAAAAAATCTATGCATTCTTGATATGGCAGTTGTCAATATATATATGATTGGTTGCTTATTGGTAACTGATTAACTGAGTAAATAATTATTTATATGTATTTACGAACCGAACTAGCTAAATGCTCATCGATTTGTTGAGCAAGCTTAAAATCAGAATCTAAAGTCGAAAGCATTAACTTGTATGCACTGATGGGAGTTCTGTCATCAGTTAAGTAAGTTGAATAAACGTAATATATATCATATTTATGTTCCTTTTGATGTTTAGGCAAATTGAACTCATTTCGATCAGTAGTACCTTGTTATTTCAAAAGTTTTTTCATATAAATATCATTAGTATCTGTTAAAATGGATAAATTATACAGAGTTAAAAAAATATTGTGAACGACAATTTAATGTTCAACTTACCAGCAATATCATTTCTTTTCAAGTCGGAATCATGTTTTCTAAAATGAAATTCACCACAATGTTGAACAATCTCATAAGCTATCATTAGTGAATGATCAACTCAAGCAATATCATCAATGATTCTTCGATTGTGAGGTGGAATGAAGTCTGGGGATGATGGTAAATGTCAAGTATTCAATCAACCAAGGATCCCTACATTTTTTTGTTCTCATGCATGATTTACATCGTTGATAACATTTTCCTACCAGCTGTAGCAAGAACTAACAATAAAGAGAAAAGATTTTTTCGGGATTCATACTTCTAAAAACCTCGAAAGTCATTAGGCTTCAACAGACTTTATAGAAGATAGAAAATGTTCCAGATCTTTTTTACAGTGCAAAGATCTTTCGAATCTCAACAGAGTCGGCTTCCGTTGAGTGTATGTTCAAGATATAACAAAAGAAACAAAAAAACTTACGTATAGCAAGAGTGGAATTTTCGGCATTGATGCTTTGACACAAGTTGTTCTGCCATGGTTTTTTTAAAGGTATTAAGAGCAGAACACAACAAATGAACATCAGCAACATGTTTGAAGTCCGAACGTAAATAAAAACCAAATGTCGACAGAATGACATCTCCATCATCGTGGCACAAGAAGGTATCTGTAGTTACTAAATGTTTTGTTACAGAGAACTCACTATAAACTTCAGTCATGAGCGAGGCTTTCATAATTTTAGTTGAAGTCGACGACAATTTATTTGCTTGCTTTGGCGAATCTTGATCAATATCAATTTTTCTTTCACTCTTATCAATTTTTATATAATAAATGCATTCATAATGATAGCCAAGACTATTAATTGCATGACGAATTAATTAGATAGAACTACTTTTATTTAATTCTAAAAGGAATACAATAGTATTTTATGAAGTATAAATTGAAACGAATGTTGAAATGTGTCAGGAAGAAATTTGGGCATCTTCCTCCGCCACAGACCGTGACAGACGCTAGTCAAAAACTGTCACAGACCTTATATTAATGAAATCACTTTCTATCATGTGAACTACTTCCTTACGGCATTTCTAAAGAATTACTTAAAAGGATAGTGAAGAGATGTTTTCCAAGATAGATACACTGGAACAATCTTCTGCGATTAACAACAGCAGCTACATCGTATTGCACATTTAAATCTCATAGTGATTGCGCTTACAGCTTTCACATTGTCCTTTATTCAAAATGAGCTGTTCACGTTTTACAAATTTTAGCGTTATGTTCCATTCATTTTCGTAGATTAGATTCGACAATGTTCACTGGTCTAAAGCATATCATGAAAGCTAAATAGACGCTGAAGTAGGTATTTTGATTTAAGATATGCATTGTGTTTTGTATATTTATGCGGCAGAATAACAGTAGTGGTTTAGACAATAGAATTTTGAAATAACTCTAGAGAAGATCGACCCGATCCGATTTGATAAAAGATCAACTGAAAGAATAATCTATATGAATGTATGTCAAGATACACATAGTGGCATTCAGATTCAAGCGATCAATACTAAATATATATCGCAGCAAAGTTACATTTCTTCACGAAATTACAATCTCGACAAAAATTTAGTTACAGTTATCTTAGACCAATTGGATGTCAAATCCTTATCATATAATTCACGCTATTGAAATCAAAATATATGCTAGCAGCTAATCCTTTATTTTAAAAATGTACACATCATTCTCTTTTTACAAATAAACATTTTAAGAAATTATTCAGAGAAATCAAAAATTACATATTGTTGTTCCTTACATGATTGTAGATCTAATCAGATGATATTTAGTTCTATAATTAATAAAATAGACCTTCTGAATACTGTGACCTGATCTAAACTACGTTTGAACTTTATAATAGTAAAAAGGAAATATTTTTTCATAAGTTACAACTCAATATAAATTATTTATCACTGAATGAAGTTTTTTTAATAGACTAATTCTCAAAATATTATTCTGAAACAAAGGTTGCTCACACCTACCGGAATAAATCATCCTAATTGCTCTAATTTTATGCTTATGTATTGCTAAAATCAGAGAGCAGCATTGTAAAAGATTCATCGCATTAACTACAAAACTTCGTGTTATAAAGGTACATCGATAATCATGATAGGTATTAATTAATCGTAGTCTTTGATTTTGCTGAATTAATCTTTTTGTTTATTCGTAAAAATGGTATGCACGTACCGAAAATGAAGATTTAACTATAAGTTTGTATTTTTATTGTAATATCATTAACTAATTAGCCATTATTAAGTATTCAGCTGATCTGAAGTAGCTTCAACAAAACTTGTTGTAGAAATTGTAACATGCACATAATCATATGACGAAGTTATAGCTGTGTCAAGCGGTGTAAGTTCAATGTGACATGTGTTTTTTTCAGGTTATCTAAGAATTATTAATAAAACATCATTAATGATGGTGGAATGGCAATGTGTTCTTTTCTCGAGAATCCGCATTAAGTTCGAGCCTTTCTTCTGTAATTGATATCTATGTCAATTACTACCCATCTTTTATTTAATTCTGTCGTATCGCCTTTCTTTCTTCTTTTCTTTTGCATATGTTGAAGTGTTAAACGCTGTTGAAAAAAAAGATAAAGGAAATACTGCAGTTTATGCTTTTCTTAAGACGAACTTATGCGATAAGGAAAAAGAACATAAGATTCTCCCACATCATTCTGTTTGTATTGTTATACTATGTTCTACACGTCTCGAGCTAGTTGTTAGCCTATACATTCTACTCGCATACTAAAGTGATTCGATTCTGAAACCTATCGTTCGTGACACATGCTATCTCTGTTCATTGTTCTATGTTTCTATATATTTGTGTTTTACTTTAATTGATTTCTTACTTCTTAAAGTCGCTTGTAATCAGCATTGTGTTCCTGCAATCCCTATCATGGGTAGAGGATTAAATAAACAGAAAATAATCATATGTCATCAATGATATGATTCATTCTCAATTTATCAAACCAACTCTCATTAATCTCAACTGCTTGTATAATATTAAAGGTTACTTGATTCTTTTTAAAATAGCTTAGTGTGGTAATCTATAATAAATAGAAAAATACCTTGATCTGAAGCGAATGACATGGAACTACTTTTGATGAGCTAATCCACAAATAAAAATCAACCGATTTCTCAATATAGTCCGCTTCTTTATGAAATGCCCCTAAATAATCAAAAGCTTCACGCATATATTCTTATCGAGTCATTTTCTGAATTTGTTCGAAGAAAGATTATTATCCAATGGCAATTGATCGATCAAAATCAATCAATGTAGCTAACATCCATCTATGAACTACAAACCACACACACAATTCCCTGCTTATATCTTCATCAAAGTGTATGAGAAAAAGTTCTCTACAATGTCTTTTCTCTAGTTTTATTTTACATTCGAATGAGATAGTTGCTATAAAAAAAACAGCTTATAAATAGATGTATTTCGTATTCATGACATGTTTCTTAGAATCGTTTCAGTGAATAAAGACAAGATGAAAACAATTAGGAAATAACTTCTAGATTATACTGCTAATGAGAAACGAATAAGTGAATTGGAAAGGAAACATTGTATCAATTATTTCTTTTTAAAATACTTGCTTTTCCAATAATTAAAGATCTATGATTTAGTAAAATCGATATATTGCCGAGTCTTCTGATAAATTGACGACTTAATATTTGTTAAGAATAAGTCCATATGTTATTATCTTTTTACCCATTGTTTTCTATATAGTAATTTTCTTCTTGTCTTTCCGTCATATGTATTGTTTTCCATTCTGTCATGTGCATTTTTTTCTTTCTATCTAATGACCGATTCTTTTTCTCACTATGGTCTGTTAAGTGTTTTCCTTAATGTGCTTAGATATTACCATAGGGATCCCGAAAGTTGCGCACGACGAATCTTGTGCACGCGAAACTTGCGCACGAATTGTCTAATAATCAGTTTTACTTTGATAGAAAAAAGTTAGAAAAAACACAAACAATTAATAGTTTTATTTATTTCTTAGAATCTTATATTGAAATATTTAGATTTATGAATAAGACACAAAAAACAAGAGTTGATGATAACGTCCATAAAAATACATACAATATTACTACTGAGTGTTCATATTTCAAATCAAAATATTCAATTAAGAATAATGTTATGTGCTAATGCAGTGATTTGATCAATAATATTGTGATGAGGATTTGGGACAAGATGGAGTAAACGTTTGTCAAGATACTGGTGAATAGTCTGGATTGATGACCGATTTCCGTATCACTATTAAATGAAATAAAAAGAACGGACTAGTCTATTTTGTTTGTTGTGGTTTCTTTATAAATGTGTGTGAGTATATATATATCGTGCGCAACTTTCGCCGTGTGCATCTTTCGTAGACCCATTACCATATTCAAGGGTGTGGGTGTGGATATTGGTCTTCTCATTACCCACACTCACTCACATTCACACTTCCGTACACGCACATCCTCATCTCGATGAAGCGAAATGTGTCCGTATTTTACTTTTACAATTGTGCTAGATATTACAATTCAAAATGTTTTACTTAAAACGTTCTGGCAGAACGAATTAGAAATTAACATCTAACTAATTCGTATACTCTTAATGGCTCTTTTAATGCATATAGTTAGTGTTGTACAGAGATTATTTGAAGAAAGTGACGAAAATCTACGGTAGTAAAGAATGAATAATGATGAGATAAGATTTTACTCAATAATTTTACCGAGCGAATACATTCCCATGAGAATTTTCATTGAAGTAACTTGCGTTGGTCAAGAAACGCTCTTCAAGAATTTTTAAATATTATCAAGCAAAAGTTCTGCTGCAGTGCAAAGACTAACATATGAGACTACATAGAAGATGCCATTTATAGGTATCAATAGTTTGAGTGGATGATAAACTGTGCGTAGATGCATATGTGAAAAATCAGAGAACGGAGAAGAAAAACAGCCTGACTAACTGAGTCAATATATTGTGTAATTACATGCGTCTGTGAAGATAGAATATGCAAAACAATTATCATTTGTCATTGAAGAGAGAACGTATAAAGCATGTCCTCAACTTTCGAAACATTACCAGATGAAGTTTTAATGCTTATCTTCAATTATTCAGGTGATTCAAGCATGATATTTCAAACATTTCTCGGGCTGAATCAACGTCTCAACAACATTCTCGTTGATAAACGTTTGCATTTACTTGCTAATTTCTTACATATTGGCGCACGTGCTGCAAATTTTGATGATAACTATAATTCTGTAGAGTTTCAAGATGTTTCACGCCGATTGTCATTCGTGAATACTACAGTTAACGAACAGGAACTTGATCAGTATTTCTATTCGTTGATTGTATTTTATATTAGACAACAGTATACACAATTGGAAGATCAAATTCAATCAACTTTGGAAAAATGTCAATCAGTACGTCAGCAGTTTGCCACAAACGAAATAGTGGATGCAGATAGACAACTAAAAAAATCTTTCAACGACCTACTAGACTATCCTGTCACTCGTAATTCGGTCAAAACAATCGAAACACTAGTCTTCAGTAGAGGTGCTCGTCTTGAATGCTCTGATGATGAGTTAAACCAATACAATTTGGCTACAGCCATTAATAAACTGTTACTTATTCATCTCAATAATGTTCACGCTGCAAGACCATTATTCATCTACTCGGTTACTCGAATGTTCAAAGCGCTCATCATTTCAAATATTCGACTTTTGAATAATCGAGGTTATACTGGTAATGGTGGTTGCAAGGTTTGGTATTTTCTTTTTTATTCTGTCTATCAACTACAGTATTTTTATTACACTCCACCTGATGTCTTTATTAATATGAAATGTTATCGAGCTGTATTAGATTTACTTCTTTTTGCTATACAATGTCAGAAACATGCTTTCAATATTCAACGTTGGGCTGAAGAAAGTATTTTTGATATATTGGATATGATTTATTCAATTGAACTAGCATATAAGAACGGAATCTTAATTAAGACTATTCAATACGAAATTTTGAACATTATCATTGATAATTATGTTTCAACCGTAACAGCACCATGGGATGAGAATTTGAATGAAAAATTTCGATCAATTCTAAGTAGTTTAATCAAAAAGAATCGACTTGATATTGTTCTACTTCTTCATCGTCGAATTGAACACGTACAACACTTCTTTAATCAGTTAAGAAATAATCCTCGGAAAGGTATCAATTTCATGACAGGAAGTCGAATAGGGCGAGAACTATTCAATATTCTCATCGAGAAGAAACCGTTGGAAACTTGTTTTACTGATAAAGAGTTGTTATTTATACTGTTGCAAAAGAAAGAACGTAAATCACTTCAAAAACTATTGCAATTATCACCTCTTCTTCTCGATCAATCAGACGAAAATGGAAACGATCCATTACTCTATGTCTGTCTCAAAGTTCGTGGTTGTCGACATCGAATAGTGGAATTTCTACTCAAGATTGGATGTAATCCTCAAAGACAAAATTTCAACGGCGAAAATTTCGTCGATGCAATAAAATTGAGTAGAAACCGAACATTATTGGAAAAACTAGTCGAAGAGGCAGTAATTAAAATCGACGACGAATCTGGAATGGTTCAGCTTATTTTGGAGGAACAAAAAGAGTCATGAGATTAATAACTTCTTCATTTTGTATGTGTGACTGTCGTCAGTTAAATATATTGATGTACATTTGTTTCTGTGCGAGATATGTATTTTTTCTTTCGATGAATACATGAAAAAAGAAAGAAAGAAAAAAAAATATTAGTTGTAAGAGTTCGCATGAATGCGCCGGTTGCAAGGTTCTTTCTTTGGTTGCCTAGTTCTGTTACCTAGGTTCATTCTTGAAGTGCTGCATGTGCATATATACTCATGTAATAGATAGTATTCCTAATCGAAACCCCTTAAACACAAAAACGTATCAGTGCTTCTGATAACATTATTCTCCATAGTGTTTCATATTTCTTAAAGTTTCATAGTCGTATGTATCTTCCATGATATTTTCTCTTTTTACCAACTAACATGAAACAGTACTTTTTCTTTCTGCTTAATTAAAATAAACTATGATAATATACATGAAGTGTAGTATCTCATGAAAGAAAAGAATTCATTTGGTCAAGGAACATTGATGATTCAATATCAAACTGCCATTCTTTCACTTTTATCTGATCAAATACAACAACATGCAAGTAGATTTTGTTGAACTTCTAATATAAAATAGTAAGAATCAGCTCGCTTCAGTAATTCACAATTTGATCGAGTAAAAGACTATTTGGTACGCCATTTGTGTAGAGAAAAGTTATTTGAACAGAAAAATTCCTGAATGAATTACACAAAAAGATTTTTCTAGATTGCCTGGTAGAGAATGTTCAACTGGATCTATCTCGTTCGACTAAGAGTTTCGTGTTTACAACGCTTGTCTACTCAATATATTCGTTTTTTAATTAGGTGTAAAGCTACAAAATAAGTTTCTTTTATTTAAAATTAAATTCTAATTATCGTTTGCATTAAGAAAACATATCACGTAGTTGTTTTTTTACTAATCAAAGTATTCATTTTCACTTATTTATACTGTGCAATGTATGCACCAATGACATCCTCTGTATTGGTATCGGAAAATGATTTCCGAAAATATATTTAAAAACAAGCGACGTAGTTTCTTTTATTTTCTGGATTGAAAAACAACTCATTCAAAAAGACTTAGCAGCATCTTATATTTATCCTTTAAATATCATATATGAATCACGTAAAATTCGAAGACAAATAGACATCGATAAATATACTACAAAAAAATCATAAACTTAAAGGTCCTCTGTGGTTTTTTTGATAGAAGCTTACTAATACGATGTAACTTTTCATAGAGAACACTGAAGAACTCTACAATTTCTTAGATTTAACTAGATGCCGATAAAAGTAGAACACAACTTGATTTAGACATATAAGATCAGTTATTTATTCTCCTTTTTTTCGTCTTTTCAAAAAATTTTAAAATCTTTTAGAAACTCTGTTTAATTTCCCTTTTATCTCAACTTTGTCTAACACACATTATTGAGTCACTAAAAATCTTCGACTTTATATGAAAAAATCCAAAAAGCACGTTGACAACGTTTTTTTTTGTTAACAACATCTACATTTATTTCTTTGTTTGTATCCATTTTAAGTTAGATTCACATCAACTAGAAAATCTTTCTTAACTATTTTAAAGATAATTGCCAGATAATTTTACTGAAGCCTTTGAATTTTGAAAAAAATGTAGTATTATAGACATTAGAATCAATTACGTTTTGCCAAAATTCATAAATCGAGAAATCGAATTTGGTTGTAAAATATCGTTTTATATTTTCAACTCTTCATACTATTGCTCAAAAAACTATCACTTATGCTGTGTGCTCTACTAAAGTTTATGACCGACGTATGATAATCCGTTTCGCATGAAATTTTGTCTTGACATATGCATTTTTAATAAGCATTCGTAGGCAAAAAACTCAAACTTCACACAAATCATCGACCAAGTATAGCTCAACTTAAAACTATCATTATAATTTCGTTAGCTCATTGAAGAGTAGTACCATAATAATCAAGAACCATCAATTTTTACAATGTTTATCTACTGTAATAGTAATCCAAATGATTGGTCACCTTATATAGTTGCATATGAATGATGGTAGTGAACATGTAGATTAATCTTTCATTGATCTACAGTTTCTTAGAACTGGTAAATAATAGCATGAAAATCATCTAAACAAAGTGCTTTGTCATCTCAATAGCTCTTTGTGTGATAAACATTTCATTGTATTTTCTAAATATAATATCTTCTTTTATTTTCCTTGGAAGAATCATAGTGTAAACTTGCTGATAATCTTATAAATTAATAGCAGAGAATGATATTCGTCAATGAGTAAAGAGAGGACTGTTCATTGACGTTATGCCTTCCTGTGTCAAATGATCGCAACGTACGTAAGAAAACAATGATTATAGATATTTAATAATATATTAACTTTGAAGAATATAACTATATGTCACAATCACACATGAATCGATCTATCGTTCATCTTCTTCGATAATATGTACGTTTTCTATTCGTTATTTGGTATTAACAATGGTAGATTTAACATTTTAGCACAACAAAAGAATTTCGCATATACTCTCGATTTCTTATCGATATTAACTGATGATAGTTATTCAATTTTTAGCCCAAGAATTCATCAATATGTGGAATATTTTATTCGCGAATTATCATGTATGAAACGTATTCTTCTCGCTGACGATTATGCTTATTTCACTGAAATGCAACTCTTCAATTTCAATCAAAAAGTAAAAGTAGTGAAAAAGAAACATTTACATCATATATTTGTTATTTTTTTCGAGATGCATCGCCCTTTTAACGTATTTTTTAGGCAACAAATTGCAAATCATTGTCTTATATGTAATGAAGACATCACAAAAGCATCATGAAAGAATTATACTACAGATATGTATTCACACATCTTAATTTTCTTCGAAAGTCTCGATGAAGCAATACTTATCTTTTTCACTTTGCTACTTACCGTCGACTAAGGTTGTTACTTTCCTATTAGTTTAAAAATAAAATTTAAATAATTTCTTATATAATTTAAATGTATTTTAAATATAAATCATTTGCACTTAATATATAAGTTATTAATTACAAATTAAATTAAATTATTCTATTTTTTGTTCATATTTCATGCCAATCAGACGAATAAGAAAAAAAAACGCTTAAAAACGCATTGGAATTTTAACGAAAATAAAATCGTAAAAAGTGCAATTTTTTATGTGTTCCAAATATGTTAAATCTTCGAACAAATATATATCTGTTCGAGAATCTAATGCATTATGAACGCGTTTTGTTTTCGTTGTTTCTCTGACTCGGATAAAATATGAAGAAGAATGGAATAATTTAATTTATGCATAAACTAAATTGAAAGTAAATATAAATTGACACCTGTGCCATCTATTATTTGAAATGACTTACCTAATTTAAAGCACTTGTCTTGGACACTTTTAAATGCGCAAATCGTACATCTTCTTCAAACCACGTCATATCTCGAAAAATTAACTTTGTATTTTTAAGTTGAGAATCGAGCTATGCTCTTTGTGATAGTATTCATCTTCACAGTGAATTTCTTATCTCGTGGTGATGTTTAACAAATGCGTAACAAAGTACAATATCAACTAGAATGAATTGCCAATGGTTTCCTACTGATTGTTTTCAATTATGTAATAATTTGTTTTGATGCCAATTGACTTGGCTGTCCTCCAAACATGAGTTCTTCATTTGAGTTACACGATATTTTCCATTACTTGAAAGAAATTTCGTGTTTTTAATTGTAGATCGTCGTTGTGGAAATGGTGAAAAATTGCAATTTGTTTATAATCAATCGTGGAATTTTCTTATCATACGTCATTTAACATGATGTATGCAGATATTCATTATTTTGATCAGTTGCTTAACAGTGCGAAGATATACTTATGTAATCTAACGAAGTTAATAGTAGGTAACTATCGATTGGCAACTGGTGGAAAACTTTACACGAGATACAACACGATTCAATACTGCTATGATGAAATCACTCTCGTTATAGAAACAAGGACAGTACATCTAAGAAACTTTTATCTCTATTTTTGCCCGTTGTAAATTCAATTTATTGTTGTTATGTGAATTAAATGAATGATAAGAATTGAATTTTAAATTATCATCTAGATTTTCATACCATTATTTGAGTGCCTTATTCTCTCAAAATCCTACGATCATTTGCTCGATACACCTGAAAAATATTAGCAAGATTTTTATTTTTTCTGGACTTGACATTACTTCTGATCTTGTTCGCAATATATATGCTTTCCTTGAAACAAAAATCGATATTATCAATTTTAATAAATCGCCAGATTTTTCGTTGCAACACTAGATTCGGATCAATATACGGAATTGTATTCGAAGAAAACTGAGTTTTGAACATTTTGAGGGCATGGGCGAACTATCACCAAGATTAATCAATCGGCTTTTCAAAATCACTTGATTGGCTCATTCTTTGAGTCAAGATAGATGGAATTTCTTACTGATCGATCAATATTGATTCGAAAGAAGCTTGTGAAACATCAGTATTCTTTTTTTAATTATTCACTGTCATTCATTTAAGATTAGCCCATCGAACATGAGCATAATTTGATACTAGATCTTCTAGTACAGGATTTTGATTTTCCCGTGGAGAAAATGAATCGTAAAGATGGAGAAGAAATAAGAATCACTTCTTTTTATGACATTCACAGCATTATTTCATGAAAATGTCTCATTTAGGCAAGACTAACATTAACATGTTGAATTTCCTACTTAGTCCTGGAGGGAGAATGACACATTTCATTTGCATTGCATGAATCATCTATTGACATCAGACGACAATTACTTGCTGCCATTACGTTTTTTTCATATTTTTTCACAAGAGTGACGATACGTTTACACAACCAAAACTTGAGTAGCTGCGTTGATTTGCGCAGAAAAGACATTAGTTTCGTGACTATCAACACTAAGATAAAATGTAAATGATCGGACTATAACATTAATGATGCTGATACTGGACTAAATGCTTGATGCAGTGTTGATGCATACTCACAGA